CCGTGCATTGTTAACGCGCTTCGGCTTAGGCACTGGGGAGGGTAATAAACAAGGCAGACTTGGTTGGGATAAAAAAAGCGTCGAGTATGGCGAGATTATGAAACAATAGGTACTGATAGAGAGGCAGCCCGGAGCCAGCCGCAGAGCAGAAGCTTTACTGAATGCCTGGCTTTGAATGAATCCTAATGATAATCACGGGCTACACGGCAATTCGTTTAAATAACGTGCCTCCTGCTTCCTCCCAGCCCGGCAGAATGAGTCCGTACATGTTAATTGCTTCATTTTGAGGAGAAAGCTCCTCTCTGTGTGGCAATATTATATATTTAATTTTTGCTGTTTATTTACTCTGCCCTTCTTCAAGCCTTTCGCTGTCTATGGAGGCATCTGCTGCCGTCGTTTTGCATTTCGAACAAAAGTGTTTGCATCCAAGCTCCGAAACCGTTACGGAGGAAAAATGGAAAGGACTGATTGCTGCCCAGGATGAGCCAGATTTCAGGGGAGAAGAGGAGCTGGTGAGCCAATCTACATGTCAGATGTAAGAACCCTGGCACTGCAACTCTTCTGAACTTCGTGAAGGGTTGGGGCAGGCTGCAGCTCAACCCTCTCAAGTGTCCTGCTCCTTCTTAAGCAAAAAACTGGTGTGAGGACTTGAGGCACACACAGGAATGTTATCACTTCAGATTAACACCGAGTGCACTCTCTAGGTGTGTAGGTTGGAGAGGCTGGCATGCTTAAAACAGGTTTATTGGAGAGCAACCACAATAATAATAATAATAATAATAATAATAATAATAATAATAGACTGAGATTTTAGCAAGATTCCCCACTGATTACATGCCATTTTGTTGCTGAAGCAGAAGTGTGCTGTGCCACGCAGCTGCACTACCATAACATCCCTGGGAGCAGCAGCACAGGCAGTAGCACCTTTCTGGGCATCTGCAGCCAGTGCTGCTGCTGCTGCTGCTCCTAGACTTAGAATCATGGAATCACAGAATTGTCTTGGTTGGAAGGGACCTTCATGACCATCTAGTCCAACCATCAACCTAACTGATAAAAAACCATCACTAAGCCATGTCACTAAGCACTATGTCAACCCGTCTTTTGAACACCTCCAGGGATGGTGCCTCAACCACTTCCCTGGGCAGCCCATTCCAATGCTTAATAACCCTTTCAGTGTAAAAATTTTTCCTAATATCCAATCTGAACCTCCCCTGGCACAGCTTGAGGCCATTTCCTCTTGTCCTATTGCCTGTAATTTGGGAGAAGAGAATGACCCCCACCTCTACAACCTCCTTTCAGGTAGTTGAAGAGAGCGATAAGGTCTCCCTGAGAGACTTTGTCCCGGGTCTCCTCTTCTCTCCTTGCCCCTGTTCAGTTCCCCCCAAGAGCCTCTCTCTAAAGGTGATTAAGCCAATATTGCTGCAATTTTATTTTTTTTTAAGTTGAAAAGGAATGGGGAATTCAATCCCAGCTGCTTGTGCACACTTTGTAGGTTTATAGGTGTGAATTAGCATCCGCTCACTTGTATTTCTTCACGTGGCCTTCGTTCCCCTCTGTGAGTCTGTCCTCTCCTGCAGATTGCTGCATTAGCTCATTTCATTTGCAGAGGTTTTTAAAAAGGTTTTTACGGGGCTCATCTCAAAAAGTGGTTGTGAAGGTCACCCTGTCCCAAAACAGCATATTCCCCGGAACACTTGATACTCAGGCTTATCAGTTAATTTGGATATTTCACTTTCCACCAAAGCCTGCTGATTAAACTGCCGCTACCACACTCCGGGATATTTACGAAGGGGTTACCATCGTTAAAAAAATTCATTAGAATATACTGGAAAAAAACAGGAATGCTTCTTGCAAATGCAAATCATGTTGTTAGCAGCTATTTTCCTAGGTCTTACAGCCTATGGGAAAGCAGACAGGATTGCTATTTGCTTCCTGCAATTTAAAAAAAAAATAAATTTTTTTTCTTCTTCACTAACATCATTAATGGCATTAGGAATCAGATTTCAACAGCGACATATTCAAATGGCACCACGGATCTATAAACAATACTATTTATGACTACTAAATGTTATTTAGAATAATGCCTTCAGGCATGTTGCTGTGGCCCCACAAGGAGCTGCAGCGGAGGGAGGTGTGTGCAGGAGGAGCTGGGCTCGGGGGAGAGATGGAGTTGGGGCTTTATGCAATTCCAGCGTAGGAAGGACATGGACCTGTTGGAATGGGTCCAGCGGAGGGCCACCAAGCTGATCAGAGGGCTGGAGCCCCTCTCCTATGAGGACAGGCTGAGAGAGTTGGGGTTGTTCAGCCTGGAGAAGAGAAGGCTCTGAGGAGACATTATAATGGCCTTCCAGTACCTAAAGGGGGTCTGCAGGAGAGATGGGGAGGGACTCTTTGTCAGGAAATATAGCAATAGGATGAGGGCAATTGTTTTAAACCTAAACATTAGATATTAGGAAGAAATTCTTTACTGTGAGGGTGGTGAGACACTGGAAGAGGTTGCCCAGGGAAGCTGTGGATGCCCCATCCCTGGAAGCTGTTAAGGCCAGGTCAGATGGGGCTTTGAGCGACCTGCTCTAGTGGGAGGTGTCCCTGCCCATGGCAGGGGGGTTGGATGATCTTTAAGGTCCCTTCCAACTCAAACTATCCTGCACAGCCCCGGTGTTCAAATTGTACTGAAAAAAAATGTAACCGGTTTTGGTTCCAGGTTTTACAAGCTTTTGAGCAACAACTAATGAATGTCTTTGAAAGGATGTAATTGCGCCCGCATCTATGTCCCTCTTTTTTGCGTGGTTTTTGGTTTGTTTTCACTTATGCGTTGAAAAAAAAAAAGGTACTTGTCAGTGAAGGAGAGATGGTTCTATGTGGCTCAAAGACCGATGGATGCGTTACGTGTCCTACTACAGTCACTCTACAAATCAGCAAGGTGGGCAGCTTGCCCCTGCTCCTTTCTGAGATGAAAGATGTGGCCGCAGAGGAGCTGGCTTCTTGGAACTGGAATTAGGAGCGTTTTACTTTCTCAATAGACTGAAAAGCAAAATGCCTTCAATTGTAGGACCTTGCTCCATCAAAACGGATTAGAAAAGGAATTACCAAAAAATGACAAAAGCTATCTCTGCCACAGGTTGACAGCCTAGAATTAGTCTGAAACACGTGGCTCTGCAGAACGGTTCCCAGATTGTACCGCGGCTCCCAACAGACACTCAGGCCCCATCCAAACACACGAGTTGTTTCACTTTCATTCTTCTGGTGCTGTATAATCCCCACGCCTCTTCCTCTCCTCCCCGAGCATGGAAGCAGATATCCCAGCCAACAAAAGTACTAGCACTGTAACTTAACATATACCAAAAAAGGGGGAAATACATTATTATGCCAAATACCTGTGCATGCCACCCTGAATTATACCTCTGTGTTTCAGAGGAAAATCCCACCCTTCTCCCAAATCCTGTAGTCTTTTTTTTGAACAAACAAAAAGCGGTGTACAGACCGTGCTTTAGGCTTCCATCAAAAAAAAAAGGACATTTTTTTTCTTTCCTCATTCCCCTCAGAGCAAACATAACTGCTGATCACACTTTTTCCCTGGGGTTTCGCAGCTGGATCTGCTCCTTGTCTGGATGGCTCGTGGGACTTCATGAAGCCTAGTGCTCACACAAGGAAGAGGTTGAGCATGGACACCCTTCTTGGTGCCAATGTGGACTTCTAAGTCAATTATGCGACTATTTCTTGAGTCTTTCCAAAGGCCCTGAAATTACTCCACAAGTGTTGCCTGTTTTCCAGGAATGGGGATAGAAACATTTATTCCCTCTGCCACTACCAAATACCTTTTTCCAAAGAATCCCTTGGAAGTGGGCTGCAGACTGAGTGAGAAGCTGTGGCTGCCCCATCCCTGGAGGGGTTCAAGGCCAGGCTGGATGGAGCTTGGAGCAACCTGGTCTGCTGGGAGGTGTCCCTGCCCATGGCAGGGGGGTTGGAACTCCATGATCTTTAAGTTCCCTCCCAACTCTAACCATTCTATGATTCTTTGATGCTTTCTGGAAAGCTGCATGGGTCACAGCTGACCGCTACTGCTTTGGGGTCGAAATGCTGTGGTGAGGCCTCTTCTACATTGCCTCCACTATTTATTTATTTATACTTAGGCTCTGCACTTGCAGTTTTTGGCCAGGACACGGGTAACCAGGTCCTTCCTCAGCTTGCAGAGTTCCAAACCACCTACCTCCAGGACAATCCACTAACGACAAGGCTCCTTCTCTGGGCGACGGAGTCATTTCACATCTCAGCTCTCGTGCTGAGATTTGTTTCATGATTTCATGACACAAGTGCTGGATAATTACAGGGTACTCAGGAAAGCATCATCACACACCTGCTGGCTGCTGTGGCCTTCCCTACAAGTCCACTTTTGGCCGCTATGTTTATGGCTCCCGTTGGACAGTGCGTTAGAGGCGGCATGCTCAGCTTCACCCCATATAGACATTTTATTGTAAAAAAAAAAGTCTTCTTCACAGCATTTTAAAAGAATGGGTAGTTAAAAGGAGAATCGGAGCAATTCAGGATGCCCTGAGCCACCTTCAGGCATCACGTCCTAAGCGAGAACCACCGACGCTCTGGGCGAGAGTGTGGCGGGCAAGTGTGTGCCAAATCCTGCCTGGTCGGAGGCCTGGTCGGAGGGCTTTGCATGATTTACACGCTGCCATCAACATAAATAAACCAATGAGTGTGTTTTAAATTTTGCAGGCAGTTTAACACTGCAGGCTAAGAGCGACTCAACAAATCCATGTTATCCCCAGCTAGGGGAGCACACCCCGCAAACACTCTGGGTGCCTTTCCCGAGTTTTCCAGCTTGGGAAAGGGGGAAAGGCAGTCCTGCTGTGAGTTGTTTGCTGCTGATTCTAGCTGGGCATCAACAAGCCATTACCTCATGGCACCATCCAGGTTTGTTGTGCGATTAATGCTGGTTTGCAGTGCGTTTTGGGTGACGTTCCAGTTAATTTTTAGCACGTGGGCATTGTGCTGTGCAGGGCACCGCTGGCAGGACTTTGTGTATCGCTGCAGTACGGGTTGCGGTAAGGGGTTGGGAGAGAGCACAGACAAAGGTTGCTGGTAAAAGGCACCCTGTTCAAACTCATACAGACTGAAAATAAAAAGCCTTGCTAAAGTTCTCCTGGTTAAAACAGCAAGAAAAGGCTTTGATGAGACACACTGAACAGGAACACTGTCTGGAATTTTTATTGATTACCGATTTATGCCGTTGTCTAAATGGACACCCATATTCATCCCTTCATGGGATTGGAATACATCACTTGCCTTGTGACGCAGCTGGTGGCATGCCTGGATCAGTGTCACCATGTTTCTAGAGCAAGGTGTCCTCGTTTTAACCTGCTCTGATTGGGAACATGTGTATGGCACAGGGAAAGGAAGCCTGCACTTGGTGAGAGGCTGGGAGACCAGCTGTGCCTGGATCGGGGTTTTGTTCTCAGCCTTCTTACAGGTCAACTTTGACTCCTCCTGCTTGTTCTTCTCTAGGTGCCATCCTGCTTGTATCTCTGCTCGGTCATTGTAATAGTAGCATCTTTGCACATGGATTTGCTGAGAAATCAGGACTTGTGCTTATTCCTCTCCTCAGAGGACAAGGAAACCGGGACCAGGTGAAAGCACTGTGGCTCGGGAGGGCATCGAGCTAACTAGGAGAATGTGTGAGATGTATTTTCTGGAGCACGTGGACAGAAAGAAGTGGAGCCTGACTGGAGGCCAGCACAACTCCACACGAAGGTAAGATCACGCAGACTGAGGGAGGAACTGGGCAGCCACCGCTGCAGCGTGACATACCCTGAGCACAAAATGACTCCAGGCTCTGAGAGGAGTCCACACCATCCAGCAATTCACCAGTCAGGCCAACTAACACCAGCAGCTGCAGATCCTTCTACGTCAATGCCACAGGGTTTGCGCTGGTATAAATCATGCACGTCACTACATTCAGAGTCAGGAAAAGAAGGAAGGAAGGGAGACAAAGGGCAGAAACAGAGATGGCCCTAAAAGGGAACTTACTTTCTTGCAGAGCAATCCTGAAAGCAACAATAAGGTCCTAAACAATAAAGGAACGGGGGAGCAGTTGGTTGCTGCACAAGGTCACAGCCTACCTTCCCCCACAGCCGCCCTCAGTGGGAGGCTCATTGTGGAGAGAGGGATGCAGAGCCGAATTGACAGCCGAACCGGGGGGATCTGGCCGTGTCCCCAGGATAGATCTGACATCGCCAGCTCTGAGGATGAAGAGAAAAGGGTGAGGGAACAGAAACATTGTGATTCCCATTCTACAGAGGGGAAGGAACAGCGGCAGCGTCAAGGCTGTCTGCACAACAGGACAGCTTTATCAGGGCTGGAATAGCAGCGTGCCATCCTGCAAAGCACGTCTGGCGAGGACAGAGCTATTTCAGTGAAACTGGAATATATATTTTTTTTTAGCAGGGTAACACCCTCCCGAATGCAGTGAGCAGCGATGCAGCTACAAGCAGCGTTTTTTGACAGTTTAACACTCACTAGCCCAGAAGATGCTTCCCGCTTGCACGGTCCTGTTAGCAGGGGATATCGGTCCTTCCCTCTTCTCCCCGACACCTTGGGATCACCTGATTCAGACTTTCTGCATGACCCGGGATGAAACAGTTGGGGTAGAGCTCTGCCAGACCCCTGCTGGAGTGGGAGAAGTGGGCTTTCCCACCAGTTACAGCCACTGACTCTTCCCACCTCACCAGGACAGCAGCAGCGAACGCGGCACACGCAGAAGATTTCGGGTCTGCCCTCACTGTTGGGTCCAGCTCTGTCTCCCCTCCCTGGAGCCCCCACGTCTCAGTGCGCCGATGCTGCTGAGAAGCCTCCAGGCAGCTCGCTTTGCTTCCTCATCCCAATCAGTAAGAAGAAGCTTCAGCAATACGTGGAGCTACACTGGAGGAAAAAAAGGCCATCTGTCACTACTGCTCACTCCGTCTGAGGAAATGATCCAAGCAGCATCAGAAGAGCTCTTTTCCTGCACGACACGCGTCTCCCGCAGGGCGTTCAGCCAACAGGATTACCTTGACCATGGCTTTTTAAGCAGGGACAAAGTTTCCCAGAATTTGGGACTTGTCAGCCTGCGACAAATAGATGGCTGGTGTTTCACTTGTTTTAGTACTAGTGGGAAGGTGGGCCCTTGGAGCAGATGAAGAAAAGGTGATGAATTAGATGAGAAGCGAGGAAACAGTCTATAACCAGCCCCATCCTCTCCTAAAGAAACCTCTGCCAAAATACAGATTCTTAAGATAATTAGACGGCCCTCCCTTTGCTGTAACGTCTGAAGGTGCGTTCACACCCCCTACTCGGGGAGCTTAATTTAGGAGCTATAACTACTACACTCAGATTAGTCATGAGTGATTCAGACCACTCAGACTTGATTCCACAGACAATGGGGCGGTGGAGTTGTGACAGGCGCTGGGGTACAAGCAGTCTGAACATGGCCCCCGCTGCCTCAGACGCCCTAGATGTGTTCTCCTGACATCCCCCACCTCCCCGGAGCGGGAAGCACTGTTTCCATCCTACATACAGGAAAAGATGACTCTGTCTGGAGCCTGCTACCAACTTACATGAAACAAGCCACTTCCACCAGCTTATCTCGATTTTGCCAGAGTTTACTTTGGCCAAGAGCTGCCCTTTTTCCACTCAAAATCCTCACCGAACCACCAAAATCATTATTCAATGTAAGACTTTTTCACTTATTAAAAGGTCATAAGCCATCTTATACTGAGTACAGATATTTTAAGGCCAAAGGGAATTTAGATTTCTCAACAATGGGGATTTTAACATGTACTGCTTGCCAATATAATGAGCGCATCCAAGAAATATGACTCAAGTCTTCATGTCTCTTGAAGCTGGGAACTGTCTTGTCTGCTAAACGTGCCAGAGTTTTCCATGGATGTGACTTGGCTTATATTTTAGCTCTCCCTGTATTATCTTGAATTAGATTGCAGGTGCGATGTAACCAAAATACGTATACACAAAGATATCAATTTTTTTCTTGACATGTGGAATTGGAGAAAAGTGACACTAGTTTTATTTAGGCACTTCTCTTCACACTGAATTTCTGGCATTTTAGCAGATGACTCCCTACGAGAATGTTCTTTCAATCTCATTTAATCCCCAACCCACCTCTCTTGACTGCAGCAAAGGAAATTCCAGTGTCTAAGCAACTATGCCTCTTCCCTGGAAGTGTCAGACGTTTGGACCATGTGGGGAGATAAAGAGCTCTTGTGCTGACTCATCTTGGCAGCCAGATCAGGTGGGCTTCCTTAGGTCCAACACAGGGCTAGAAAAGGGGCTAGGAAGAGCTAAAACTGAAAACATCTAGATGGGGGAAAAAATTACAGAAAATAAAAGGCTCTTGAACAAGCCAGGAAGGAATCGGTCCTACCAACTGTTTGTTCTTGCAAATATTCAACCTGCAAATATTCAGTATTCCAGCCACCAAGATTTGCCCCAACAGGGAGCTTACATGAAGCACTCAAGAAAAGGTCTGCCATTGCTCATCTGAGAGCTCTCCCTAAGCCCTTGAGCTCTTGTCTAGAAATCCATACGCAGGATGTCAATAACCCAGAAAGTTCTGTATTGTGGAACTAGGTTAAGGGAAGGAACAGTGAAGAGAATCATTTGGCACTTAGGTTTGTTCCAAATCTTCTGTTGCAGCCTTCCCACAAAGACTGCAGCAGCATAGTTGCATATTTATGCAACAAGGGCCCCCCACTACAGCGAGAGGTAATAGTTCACCCCATTCCAAAAAGCAACATTGGCTTTTAACATTTAAAGGATGCTGGGGGAGCTGGATCCTTGGGCCTTACAACCTGCATTCAGAGACACGTAATAAATTTATGTTTTGCTGATTTGCTCATGGACCTTTGTGAAACCTTATCTCAGCCATGAGCTCGATGGGTTGTCAGTATACAATGCAACATCAACACAAACCGGTAACAAAGATGAGTAAGTACTGCAAAAATAATCTAAGAACTCACTCAAATAAGGTCAAGAAATTCACATGACTTACTAGGACCCTGTTCCTTCTATGTTTTTTTGCACACAGCTCTTTGCACGGCAGCGTTTTTCCCAAGAAAGCCTGCAGAAAGGAAAACCAGCATGAAGACTCATAGAAGTGGGTATTCTCATGAACATTTGCACCTGAATAGCGTGTCCGGCCATCTCTGATCGCCCTTTGTAGGCCTGGGAGTAGAACTGCTCTCAATGGGATTTAAGGGACACAATGCACATCACAAAGTTTCTCTTTGCAGAGCATCTACGTTACCGTATCCTGGCATGATTCTTTTGTGGAAGAGGACGGTTTTAGGCAATTCTTGACAGGTATTTCTAGCTTAAAAGTATCTAATTAAAATTTTAAGCTCCTTGGAATAGTACTACCTGACTTCATTTGTCCTCGAAGCACCATAAACAGTTCCAGTACTATAAAAATAATAACTCGACTGATCTATATGCAACCTGTATTACGTGCCCTGTCAGTTCCATTGATTTGTGGATGCACAAATGAAGTCTGGTTCAGGCTCGGTATCTTGCTGCCACAGTATAATCTCACAAGGACTCCGAAAACATCCAGGATTAGTCAATACAAAGTTTCGCACTCACAGAGATAGGGTGTCCAAATTGTAACAGTCAAAGTTTAAGAAAACATTTGGGTACAAACAATTAGTGGAAATACCTCAACCGTTTCACTGGGAAGCATGATTCATTCTTCTTAAAACTAATTTGGTACTAGTAAATATATTGCTAAATCTTGACTGAAAATTACTTTCTAGCGCAACTTCTAGAAACAGGTATACGGCACCTCATTTCTCTGGGCAAAGTTTAGACTGGGAACACATCTGGAAAAACATCTGGGTTTATTACCAGATGCTGAAATGACATGCTGAGACACAGATTAATTCACATGCTATTTCCGTGGCCCATCTGTGCAATGGAGTTAACTGTACTCTTGTTTCTCTTACCAACTATCACCACAAAACCTATTTTCACATGAAAACTGTGCTCCCTTTCTATCTCGATAAATGGATGCTAATAATCTTTTATTCACCCCTGTGTCAATTTCCCTGTGCCACCAGTTACAGAAGTTTTCTGATTTTTATCACAAGAGTTGCAGTTGTATTGTGTGGTATTACAAATGCACCATACTCTGTTTAAGATGAAAATTGGCAACTTTGAGCTATAAAAGCAGGTTCTTTTCATATTTTTTTGTGAATTTAGAAGCTATTTTGAATATTTTATATTTACCAAAATGTTTTCTATTTCAAATACCAACTTTGAAGAAGACAGCCTGCTTCATATTATAAAGCAAGTCTACATCATGTAGCGTTTGACATCCCCAGCCAGATTCAGTTCCATTTGGGCTTTAACTTCCCTAACTTCATCCCTGGATGCTCAGACACTCTTTCCATATTCCTCCCAGGCTACCTGTCTTTGCTCCTACCCTCTGTACGCTTCCTTTTTGTATTTGAGTTTGGCTAGAAGCCCTTCCATTCATCCATGCAGACCTCCTGGCATTTTTGTCCAATTTATTCCTTGGGATGGAACTCTCTTAAGCTTGGAGGAGGTGATCTTTGAATATTAACCAGCTTTCTTGGGCCACCCTTCCTTCCAGGACCTTATCCCATGGGACTCTTCCAAGCAAATCTTTGAAGTGGCCCAAGTCTGCTCTTCTGAAGCCCAGGGTTGTGAGCTTGCTTTTCACCCTCTTCCCTGCTGTCAGGATCCTGAACTCCACCATTTCATGGTCGCTGCAGCCATGGCTGCCTTTGACCATCACATCCCCAAAAGGCCCTTCCTTGTTGGTGAATGAGGTCCAGCAGAATACCTCTCCTCATTGGCTCCTCTATCACTCGGAGGAGGAAGTTATCATCAATACACTCCAGAAACCTCCTGGATTGCTGCTGTCCTGCTGTGTTATCCCTCTATCAGATATCGGGGAGGTTGAAGTCCACCACGAGGACCATGGTCTGCAAACTTGAGGCTGCTCCTATCTGTCTACAGAGGGCCTGATCCACTTTTCTTCCTGGTCAGGTGGCCTACAGCAGCCACCCGCTATAATGGCACCTTTCCCTCTCCTCCCTTTAATTCTAACCCAGAAACTGATCTCAGTTGGCTCCTCATCCATCCTCAGGCAGAGCTCGATGCACTCCAGATGCTCTGTCACATAAAGAGACACTCCCCCTTCTCATCTTCCCAATTTCCCCTCCTCATCTTCCCATCTGTCCTTCCTAAAGACCCCTGTATCCCTCCTTTGCAGCACTTCAGTCATAGAAGCCATCCCACCACATCTCCATGATCCCAGTAAAATGGTAGCCCTGCAGCTGCACACAGATCTCTAACTCATCATGTTTATTCTCCATTCTGAGTGTGTTCATGTACAGACACCTCTGAGAGGAACACTCCCACAAAGACTTCCTAGAAAGGGTTTGGGGATTTCTCCATGATGATGCCTTGTAGGCACTTCCTTGCTTACATGTAAGTGCTGAAGGTGACCCTGCCCCCAGTAAAATGGTAGCCCTGCAGCTGCACACAGATCTCTAACTCATCATGTTTATTCTCCATTCTGAGTGTGTTCATGTACAGACACCTCTGAGAGGAACACTCCCACAAAGACTTCCTAGAAAGGGTTTGGGGATTTCTCCATGATGATGCCTTGTAGGCACTTCCTTGCTTACATGTAAGTGCTGAAGGTGACCCTGCCCAAGTCCCATTTTGTTGATTTTGTGATCCCTTCCTGTCACACCAGCCCATGCCCTTTCCTCAGTGAACCTGTCCATCACTCTCTCACACTTTCCCTCCTCTGTCATTCTTGGCTTAAAGCTCTCCTCACAAGGTCAGCCACCCTATTGGCAAAAATAGCTTTGCCCCACTTAATGAGGTGGACCCCACCTCTCCCAAGCAGACACTGGTCTGCAAATAGGGTCCCATCGACATAGAACCCAAAATCCCATTGCCAAGACCAATTCTGCAGCCAATTACTGACTTGTCCTATTAGTGCTCTCCTCCTCCCTCCCTTTTCCCTCACCAGTAGGATTGAGACCACCACCTGGGCCCCCATGCCTGTGACTACCACCCCCAGAGCGCTGCAGTCACTTCTGATATTGTCCAGGTTTCCCCTGGCAGTATCATTTGCTCCCACATGGAGTAAAAGCAGGGTGTTGTAGCCAAGAGGGCTAGATGAGCCTCAGTAGTTCTTCCACAAGATCCCAGATCCTGGTCCCTAGAAGGCAGCAAACCTCTCTAGACGATTGGTTGGGTTGACAGATGGTGCTCTGTCCCCTGCAGCAAGGAGTCACCTATTACAGTGACTCACCATTCACCTGGTAAGTCTTGCATGTCTTAGGGTTAAGTGAACCAGGTTCTTTGCTTGAAGGCACATCCCGCCTCTCTTCAACTTTGAGGTCAGTGAACCTATTTTGCAGCTTTAAGCCTTTAAGAGGGGCAGGAACCTTTCTCTTGGTGCCAGAAGTCACCAGCTTCCGTCTTTCCCTTTCTCCAGAGGTTTTGCTTACCTTGATAGTGTGAGGTAGACAATGCCTGCTTCCTTGCTGCAGATGAGGTCTGAGGCTCTTCAAGCTGTTAAGTCTCAGAGAAGATCCTGTCTATCTCCCTTTCTGTTCTCTGATATGGTGCAGCCTGCTCCCTTCCTCCATTTGGCAGCACAGTCCACGCTGGAGCAGGTTCGCTGGCAGCACTTGTGACCCAGACAGCAGTCTGTTCCTGGAGGACCGTACCCTGTGGAAGGGACACCATGCTGGAGCAGTTCATGAAGAACTGTCTCCCATGAGAGGGACCCCAGGCTGGAGCAGGGGAAGAGTGTGAGGAGTCCTTCCCCTGAGGAGGAAGGAGATAACGTGTGGTGAACTGCCTGCAACCCCCATTCCCTGTCCCCCTGCGCTGCTCAGGGGGAGGAGGTAGAGAAATTGGGAGTGATGATGAGGCTGGGAAGAAGGGAGGGGCGAGGGGAAGGTGTTTTTAAAGTTTAGTTTTTATTTGCTCATTATCCTACTCTGATTTGATTAGCAATAAATGAAATTAGTTTTCCCAAGTTGAGTCTGTTTTGCCCGTGACAGTAAGCGTTGACTGATCTCTCCCTGTCTTTGCCTTGACCCATGAGCCTTTCATTGTATTTTCTCTCCCCTGTCCAGCTGAGGGGGAGTGACAGAGTGGCTTTTGGTGGGCACATGGAGCCCAGCCAAGGTCAACCCACCAGAGAAGCCTCTGCCCTAGCAGGGACAGCTGCTCCCACACCTACTGGGGAAACTGAAACGAAACGTACCAATGTTTTGTGTAATTTAAGATTATGTACCTGATGGCAGCAAAGCAGAACAGATTTCAAGAGGAGATGATAAAGCTGCACTCTAATCTCCCAAGCCTTATACCACAAAGCTGACAAGGGCATCGCTCCTTTCAGGTTGAAAAGTTCTACCCAACACTGTCACGTGAGAGCAAAGCTAAAAGGAAGGAAAACAACGGGCCACTCAGAATGAAAAGGCAGATGCAGAAAATCATAGGGTGAAAGGCTTTGAGAAAGCTGTTTGTATTTGAAAATTTCAGAATCAGATAATTTCTAAAAATATTTAAATAAAATCATCCATTTATGCAAATGCATTAACCCAGGAAGAGCCAAAACAAACAAACAAAAAAGCCATCAGTATGAAGATTATCTTTACAATAAAAGTTCTTTTAGGAAATACACTAAATACGACAGAGGGGAAAAAAAAGCATCTCATAATTTATATTCAAGGGCATCACATTTTAGAACAATGTCTTAGCCATTTATCATTTATAAATGATTCACAAAGAAATTAAATACCATATTCCATAAAAGAATAATTTAATGTACAGTTTAGACGTAAGGCTTCAGCATAACATCTCACACCCTTCACCTGGCAACTTGCACACCCCAGTTGAGTGATCTGTACTTGCTCTCCTACCAGAGTAACAGAGCATGGTGGTCCTCGAACACACAGGCAGTGTTCACCTTCAGTTTTTAAGGATCAACAAAAAAGGTATTACTACAAAGTGTCCTATTATTTGTCACAATAAAAGCAAACGGAAAGCTAGGAGAAATAGGTAAGTTATATTTGTTAAGTCTAAGATTGAGGGAATGGATTAAATTACACCTTGGAAAAAAAAAATAATTATCTAGCTGCTAGTTATGCCATCGTATTATTAGTCACTGTGCACAACTGGGACACCGCAACTCCAAATCACAGACTAGAAACACAGTGCTTCCTTTACACAAAATACAAAAAGTTGGGAAAACAGCTTGAGAACTATCCATCTCCATAGCTATCATATGCATAAGAACTATTGGCTTTACAGAGTGCCAGTTTCTTCAAAATATTGACTGTAATACTGATGTCAATAATATCCCTTAGTCTCCTTATGCATCAAGTACAAATCAGAGAAAAACCCTGTCCCAAACCACTCATTTTCAACCACACAACATCATCAGAAATCTTGTATTTGCAACACAGTTAACTGGTGTTGCAGTTCACATATTAATTCTGCAGACAACAGTCACAAGTACTTACTGAAAATACAGATATGTTTCCTAAAAGTAATGTGAAGCTTTATTTAGGATGACAAAGCTTTTGTAACAGTGCAGGGTGCAAATTTTCGGTATGAAGACATTCAGAAGATTTGCTGCTCAAAGAGGATCTTTTCAAACCCTGGTGGAGGTGTATGATAAAATTCACTGAACTGACAATCCAGAATGGCACTGTCATCAACTGCGGAAAAGAACCAAAGAGAGGGAATCAGAGAAGGAACACTTACAGTTTGATCCTCGATTACACCATTTTACTAATTATACATTAGGCTCAAACAATGAAAAATATTCTCCAATACATCCACTACATACATACAGCTACAAGAAATACGTTCAACAAATTTGCTAAAGCCCTACATACAAGGAGAGCAAATCATCTCTCTTCTGCTGTTGAAGTTATTAATGGTCCTTGGTGAAATGAATGTGAACTCTACCTCTGATTTCACCAGGAGCATTAGCAGGGCTTCAGGCAATTCCCTCAACTTTTTCTATTCTATTTCTCCAGAAATCTATAGATTAAGGGCACTACTAGGGCTACTACCACAACTACACGTTGCAGGGCTGTCACCTCCTCAGCTGCATATTTTTTTGTCCACTTCCTAATTCTGCTGGAGCATCACCTCTCTGCAATGGTTTTTCTGGAGGTTTACAAGGTTTCAAACGTCTGCAATTGTTGGCGTCAGACCATCTGTTTTAGCATGTGATCCAGAGAGAGCTACTGGGGAAACTGAAACGAAACGTACCAATGTTTTGTGTAATTTAAGATTATGTACCTGATGGCAGCAAAGCAGAACAGATTTCAAGAGGAGATGATAAAGCTGCACTCTAATCTCCCAAGCCTTATACCACAAAGCTGACAAGGGCATCGCTCCTTTCAGGTTGAAAAGTTCTACCCAACACTGTCACGTGAGAGCAAAGCTAAAAGGAAGGAAAACAACGGGCCACTCAGAATGAAAAGGCAGATGCAGAAAATCATAGGGTGAAAGGCTTTGAGAAAGCTGTTTGTATTTGAAAATTTCAGAATCAGATAATTTCTAAAAATATTTAAATAAAATCATCCATTTATGCAAATGCATTAACCCAGGAAGAGCCAAAACAAACAAACAAAAAAGCCATCAGTATGAAGATTATCTTTACAATAAAAGTTCTTTTAGGAAATACACTAAATACGACAGAGGGGAAAAAAAAGCATCTCATAATTTATATTCAAGGGCATCACATTTTAGAACAATGTCTTAGCCATTTATCATTTATAAATGATTCACAAAGAAATTAAATACCATATTCCATAAAAGAATAATTTAATGTACAGTTTAGACGTAAGGCTTCAGCATAACATCTCACACCCTTCACCTGGCAACTTGCACACCCCAGTTGAGTGATCTGTACTTGCTCTCCTACCAGAGTAACAGAGCATGGTGGTCCTCGAACACACAGGCAGTGTTCACCTTCAGTTTTTAAGGATCAACAAAAAAGGTATTACTACAAAGTGTCCTATTATTTGTCACAATAAAAGCAAACGGAAAGCTAGGAGAAATAGGTAAGTTATATTTGTTAAGTCTAAGATTGAGGGAATGGATTAAATTACACCTTGGAAAAAAAAAATAATTATCTAGCTGCTAGTTATGCCATCGTATTATTAGTCACTGTGCACAACTGGGACACCGCAACTCCAAATCACAGACTAGAAACACAGTGCTTCCTTTACACAAAATACAAAAAGTTGGGAAAACAGCTTGAGAACTATCCATCTCCATAGCTATCATATGCATAAGAACTATTGGCTTTACAGAGTGCCAGTTTCTTCAAAATATTGACTGTAATACTGATGTCAATAATATCCCTTAGTCTCCTTATGCATCAAGTACAAATCAGAGAAAAACCCTGTCCCAAACCACTCATTTTCAACCACACAACATCATCAGAAATCTTGTATTTGCAACACAGTTAACTGGTGTTGCAGTTCACATATTAATTCTGCAGACAACAGTCACAAGTACTTACTGAAAATACAGATATGTTTCCTAAAAGTAATGTGAAGCTTTATTTAGGATGACAAAGCTTTTGTAACAGTGCAGGGTGCAAATTTTCGGTATGAAGACATTCAGAAGATTTGCTGCTCAAAGAGGATCTTTTCAAACCCTGGTGGAGGTGTATGATAAAATTCACTGAACTGACAATCCAGAATGGCACTGTCATCAACTGCGGAAAAGAACCAAAGAGAGGGAATCAGAGAAGGAACACTTACAGTTTGATCCTCGATTACACCATTTTACTAATTATACATTAGGCTCAAACAATGAAAAATATTCTCCAATACATCCACTACATACATACAGCTACAAGAAATACGTTCAACAAATTTGCTAAAGCCCTACATACAAGGAGAGCAAATCATCTCTCTTCTGCTGTTGAAGTTATTAATGGTCCTTGGTGAAATGAATGTGAACTCTACCTCTGATTTCACCAGGAGCATTAGCAGGGCTTCAGGCAATTCCCTCAACTTTTTCTATTCTATTTCTCCAGAAATCTATAGATTAAGGGCACTACTAGGGCTACTACCACAACTACACGTTGCAGGGCTGTCACCTCCTCAGCTGCATATTTTTTTGTCCACTTCCTAATTCTGCTGGAGCATCACCTCTCTGCAATGGTTTTTCTGGAGGTTTACAAGGTTTCAAACGTCTGCAATTGTTGGCGTCAGACCATCTGTTTTAGCATGTGATCCAGAGAGAGCTTCTTGACTGCTTCTTTCAGTTGGAAGTTAATGGTTTTATGTAATACCTCCCCCAGTTTTGGACCCCCTGCATAATCTGAGACACAAGTGTTTCTACCTTCAATGTAGAATATAAAAAAAAAAAAAAAAGCTGAGGATTTCCAGAGCAAAGTTTTCATGTATTTCATTAGCAAACTGAAATACCAAACCAGTCAGGAATCAAGATCTCTTTCACAGACAACTTCTTCCAAGATGAAGCTGGTACACTAGCAACACTAGATCAAAATAGAAAAGCTTTATCTCCATATTTTGGGCTGGAATTTAGATATCTTGGAGCCAAGGTAGGAATTTTTCCCTTCTAGGCTCAGTTAAAACTCCTATTAATATATTCGTACAGTTCTGTACTGCTTATGTAGTGTTTACATCTCACTTCTGCAAAAGGGCCTGAGGTACAGC